TGTTTTTAGCTGTTATTTGCCTTATCATGAGAAGTTCTTTTGCTGTTGCTGTTGTCATCTACATATTTTAAAATTTCAGTTATTCTGTTATATCACTTTTAAACCTTTGGTATTTAGAATAAAATTCTCCAACCACATATTACTTACTTATCTATTTACTAGTATATTAATGATTTCTTTGAAAAATGTCAAACATCTTAGATTTATTTTGGTACATGGGTGAGATAAGGTTCTGTGTTTTCTTTTTTCTAAGTAGCTAAATATTATTGTAGCATTGTATACAGGTCTATCATACATTTGTTCTTTCTGGAAATTCAGGTCAACTAGTAACATAGTAGAAAATAACACATCTAAATGGCTTAACGTATATAAAAGTGAATTAAATACTTATTGATGAATTGGAAAATGTATATTCTCTAGTCTCTCTCTCTCTCTTTCTCTCTCTCTCTCTCTTTCTCAATCTCTTTTTTTAGTATCAGGGTTTGAACTCAGGAGCTTGCCCTTCAGAGGGAGGAGGCAGCACCTAGCTAAAGCCCCAGCCTAATTTTCTAGTCTCTGAGAGTAACAATTAAAACCACTTAACTATAGCCCTCTCTATGGTAACTTGTCTTTTTCTACTTTCTCATGCTAAGGGGATTAGCATTACAGAAGCCATTGTAAGAACCTTGAAGTGAGCTTGTGATTTCAGTATTCTAACTGATGTCTACAAATAAGACTTCTTTGTCCTCCAGTTCCACTTTTGGTACAAGACAAAACCAAGCACATATTTTTAATACTCTATGATCTCCTTATGAGTTATGTCTGTGTGAAAGCAAGAATTCTAAACAAGAACACTATGACAACTTCATCTAAAATATTTGTTACTTTATGCAAAACAATGCTCAAAACAATCAGACCCCCCAAATATAAAGACCCGATTCAAAAATGGGCATCTGAAATGAACAGACACTTCTCAGACAAAGAAGTAAAAGCAGCAAGTAAATATATGAAAAAATGTTCCACATCACTGGTCATTTGAGAGATGCAGATGAAAATAACAGTGAGATTCCACCTCACCCCAAAAAAGAATGGCTGCTATCAAGAATCAACCAATAACAAATGTTGGCGGGGTTGTGGGGAGAAAGGAAGCCTTCTTCATTGTTGGTGGGAGTGCAGACTGGTTCAAGCACTGTGGAAATCAATATGGAGATACCTCAAAGAACGAGGATTAGAGGTTTCATTTGACCCAGCTATCCTGCTGTTGGGTATCTTTCCAAAAGAATTAAAGGAATCATACCACAGAGATATATGCACACCCATGATTATAGTGGCGCAGTTTGTAATAGCTAAAAGTTGGAAACAGCCCAATTGCCCAATAGTTGGTGACTGGATAAAGAAGATGTGGTTTTTCTATAAAATGGAATACTACTCAGCCATAAAGAATGAGAAACCAGTCATTCGTAGGAAAATGGATGCATATTGAAGCCATACTCTTAAGTGAAATAAATAGGACACACATGTGTTAATACCAAATAGCTTCTCTGGTGTGAAAAACTGAAAGTGTAAGTAATACCCAAATTGCATAACTGATAATGTGAAATGGGAAAAAAAGAGCTAATGGTGTAGGAGAAGTGGGAAGGGTAGGGGAGAGGAAATAAGGGAAAAGAAAAAATATGAGAAAAGTAAAAAATGAAAACAAAAGTCTTCGTAAATAGGGGAGAGTGAAGGGGGTGAAGGGAGGGCAAGGGTATGGGGAAAAATGAGAAGCAAGACCAGTCATGTAAAGGTACAAGATCTCAATGATGAATGCAACTGTACTGTACACCTAAAATGTACCAATAAACTCAATGAGAAAAAAAAAAAGAAATCCCTGTACATTGTGTCACAGGGAGCAGTTGATAAATACACATTTGGAGTTCATTGTAATCATAAAGACAATGTACATAAAATAAGTATTTCCTTATGCATTCATGGCCTTGGATACAGAGAATGTTGAATTATTTTAGCCCATTATTAATCTGGTGGTATCCTCCTTAACTGAGCTTTATCTTCTATGTCTTTTTAAATTCTCTTTTGTGACACTTTATTTTATCTGCTAATAAGAAATTCACTAATATTTGGATTTTCTTTCATTTTTATCTTTTTATATCTCTTCTAAAAAAGAACTTTATATTAACTCAAAATAATAACTAGAAAGAGAAAAAGAAGATAATTTATGAACTATACCAGAAAGATATGGTCAGTTTATCTTTAAGCAACTGCGATAAAGAATAAGGTGGAAAAAAAAGTGGGAAGGGGAGGGGAAAGGTAATAAGGGATAAGAAAAAAATGTGAGAAAATGAAAAGATGGAAATAGTGTTTGTAAATGGGGAGGGGAGAAGAGGGTGAAGGGAGGGCAGGGACAAGGGGAGAAAAAGAGAACCAAGACCTGTCATGTAAAGGTACAAGATCCCAATGATGAATGTAACTGTGCTGTATACCTAAAATGTACTGATAAACTTAATTAAAAAAAAGAATAAGGTGGAAAGGCAAAACTACCTGTTATATTAGAGAAAAGATCAAGAGAGACCCAGAGTCCTTCATAGCCCACTTTTTAATAATTCAGACTTAGAGCAAGGATCTTGTTCTGAGGTCCAGAATGATTTGTGACTGAAAAGAAATAAATAGGGTAGATTTTTAAATATTCTAAAGTTTAGTATGCAATTTGATTAGATCTAATTATGTAATTTGTTTTGCAGGGGAGAGGGAGAGGGAAGCTCATAGCTTTATTCACATATTCATAGGTATCTCTGACTACAAACTAATGAAAAGCCACTAACATGGAGTAACTAGAGTTATAAGAAATAGACACATGCTCTTTTGTGTCCTATAGGAAATGAAGATATTTCTTTTTATTTATTTTCTTTGGCATAATTCCCCTTTGGATGAATTTAATGCTTTTAGGGGTTTTATTGGTTTAAATTTACAAACATGAACATTTTAGGAAATATTTTGTGCTTCTTGGACTGGCAAAGCAGCAGAACTTTGCCATAAACGTTCTGCATGGTCTTCCTGGGAAGAGGAGAAGACAGAGAACAGAAAGATGTGGGAGCACTCTTGTACCCTTGAGCCTTGAGCCTAGGCTGAGCCTCAGCAGCTGGCACTGTCATTCTGGGTGTTGAGAAGCCTAACAGATTTGCCATAAGGAAGATCCATTGACAAACGTCATGGAAAAAACAGAATCCTTGAGTGATGTCCAAATCCTCTATGTAACTAAATCAGCAAAACAGGAGGGTATACAACAGGAGGATGAATCACCCAAACATATGAGCTGGATTCTCAGATGATCTAATGCCTAGTACACATATATTCTCTCAACAGCTGCTTTTATCGGCCTCTTCAGAGAGGGGTGGAAAGCCTCTATAATGCACCTGGTAAGTTGTGCCAAATTGATGAAATTCTGGCAGAAGCAGGAAGGAGAAACATGCTCCCCACCTGCCCCTTGGCTTAGAGAAAAAATTTGATGACCATCATATGTCTCCTATCTTATGTTTACCCTTTCCACCATGAGACCGACAGACTCAGCTATCAATCTGGAATCCATTTCTACCTTCTTAAAGTATATATGAGTTAGCAGGTATTTTTATAAGTCCTTCCTGTGAAATTATTTTTTATATTGCTCACCTTCAAGTGTTCTGTTGGTATTGAGCATCCTTTATAGATGTGTTTCTCAAATTACACCAAAACATCCATTTCTTTGGCTTTCATGATGACCTTTGATAATTTCAGAATTAAAAGCCAATCGATATGATTAGTGTGAACTAAGAGGCTGGCCGTTATGTCAAAAATAAATAGCACCTCCATGCAAGAGCTCCTGCAGGGCAAAGAAGAATGTGCTGAGTGGATCTGTCTTTCTAGCTTTGATGACCATTATTTAGAAGTTTTTGACTGGTTCTGTGACAGTAGATAAATGAAAAACATTGGAATGAGCCTTGGTCTCTGATACAATTTTTCAGATAAGAGAACTAAAGTAAGTTGCAAGGCTAAATATTGGACACAGGATTGCAAAACTCTGAATGTAGGTATGGCTTCAGAGAAAACTGATTTCAGATTAACTGCACAAAAGACTGAACTATGCTCCTTTATGATTTTATGCCACATAACTTTCAATATTTTTATAAACCATTTGTTTATTCTTTTTCTTTCAAATTTAATATATAGGTGCATGCAAATTAATTAGTCATAATGATGGTAGAACAGCACTGGCCTTGATAATGTGGGGAGAAAAAGAAGAAGCAATATTTAGAAGCATAATTTTCCTCTATAAAGTGTACTATTCTTTTTTTTTTTTTTGAGACAGGGTCTCACTGTGCAGTTGAGACTGACCTATAACTCACTGTGTAGCCCAGGATAGTCTCAAACTCACAGCGATCCTCCTGACTCAGCCTTCCAAGTGCTGGGATTACAGGCGTGTACCACCATGCCTGGCTCTAAAATGTATTATTCTTATCAGAGAGAACACAAATGATAGCAGTGTTGTGCCAGCATAGTAGTATTAAACTCGGATGACATATTATATTATATAATATCTTTGTCTTTAAAAGTAAGCAAATGACTTTCTTGATATTTCAGCTCAAGTTGCTCTTAGGTTATTATATTTGAGGCAAAATGCTCCTTGAAGTAAGGTATTCAATTTTTTAACGTTGAATATGAAATAGGAAATTAATGGGTTTTTATAAAATACAGAATATACAAGAAGAAACAGATACAACTATTTTATTGAATCAGCTTGAAAAAGATACAAAATCACTTAGCTGTGATTCCACAAAATTCCATTAAAGCAAAGGTGAATTTAGGCATAAACTTATGCTTATAGATCAATATTTGCAAGGTTACAGATTATTTGAGTTATTCATTGAGAACTAAATTCCTCTCTTTTTCTAATTCTATAGAATACATGTGCAGGTATGCTGCCTTGCTGGCATTGAAGTACATTTGTTTCTTAAAAATGATCATTTATGTTGCACCAGAAGGAGGGCTGGGTTCTTGATGAGCTCCTTCTTAGGGCCTTCAGAATGAGGCTCTCACCACTCTTCCCTTCAGAGGCTGTGGGGGTCGGTTGTTGTGCTGTATGGGGGTAGATTTGTCCCCTTCAGCATTTGATAGAAGACTGCGGAACTGTGCTAGCTGGAAGGATGCGATATTTAAAGAACGAAGAATTATTAAAACCACACAAAACACTGCCTAGCCAGCATAATTAATGCACTGATATTTAGGAAACGGAGTTGAGGGTTGTACTGGCTTCAGCAATGGGGAGGATCTGTCACATTCCTTTGAGTTAAGCATTCTGTTTACATTATTGATGATTTACTCAGAATATCATCTCTGCCACTTTCCAACTGGGGTACTTTGGTGTTTCGCTTTTTACTTCATTGGATGGTGGCAAAGATTAAATGTGCTAATACAAAGTGTTTGTTCGATACATGTCACTTAGCCGTGGGCCACAATGTTTGCCCTGCATGTTTGTTATGAAAAGTGCCTGAAAAAATACATGCCAGATGCCTAGTAAAAGTAGTAATTTGATCAATGATAATTATTTTTATCATTATAAAGAATAATTCATGTGATATGTTGGTGTATATTTAACATTTTAAGCTTGAACACATGGTGAAGGTATGCTAGCTGAGAGCTACATTTCCCTAAAGTCTGGTTGGATCTCTTAGGAATGGTTTTTCCTTTGTTTCTGAAATATTTAAGGAGACATTTAACAAGGTTAGGCTTCTCCTTCTTAAGGAGACTAGTGGGACTCATGTTTTTCTTTTCTTTTCTTTCTTCTCTTAAATTCTTTGATTGGCACATTTTAGGTATATAATACATTTACATTCAACATTGGGAATTTGTACCGTCACATGATGTACCTCGGTTCTTATCTTTTCCCCGTTCTCCTGCCCTCCCTTCAACCCCTCCATCCTTCTCTATTTGCAAAAACTTTGTTTCCACTTATTTCTTACCTCATGTTTTTTCCTTCACTTTTCTCGTCCTTCTTATTTCTTTTCCTTCCTTCTTTTCTTTTTCTATTTTTTTCTTCAGTACTACAGATTCAACCCAGGGCCTTCGACTGAGTCACATTTCCAACACACCTCCCTTAATTTTTTTTTTTTTTGTTGTTGTTATTGTTGTTGTACGTAGGATTGAACTCAGGACCTTGTACTTGCAGGACAGGAGTGGAACCACTGAGCTAAATGCCTGGTGCCCTTCCCTCCATTTTAAATTTTCAGACAGGATCTCAGCAAGTCACTAAGATACCCAGGGTAGGCTGGAACTTGGGATCCTTCTGCCTAAACTTCCCAGAGTGCTGGGATTACACGTGTGCCACTCTACCTTGAGCCATGCTTCTAATTTTTGCATAAAAATTAAACAAACAGTATTATGCTACACTTTTTTGGGGCATGATTCAATAGAATTGTGCCAGAAATGAGTCTTTTATAGTTGGAAGAAAAAGTCAACTCTCAAAAACCTAATTGAGATAATAATATTCCCTGTTGACTCTACCAGTTGAAGTGACGTTTCTGCATCGCAGTTCCAAACCTCACTCATTCACTTTGATACCCACCTGTTCGGAGCTGACACTGATGCTCTCCTTACAGATGATCCAGGTCACACTTTCATGGAGAGGAGGATGAGTCAGAGAGCCAGCATAGGTCCAGTAATCCAGGGATGAGGGAAGGAGAACAGAGGGGTCAAAGTCTGTGAATGGGGCTCGCTTTCCCTGAGAAAATAAAGACAAATACGCAGGCATGTGCACATCATCATTTCATGACATAAAATGTTTATATCAATATATATAAGGGGAGACCAAATAAAACTTCAAAAACGTATGCTATCTACAGATTTTAGCTAAGGGTTTAATTGACTTTTTTGCTCTATATTATTTCTTTTTTTGTGCTACATTTTTATTGACTAGGGTTTAGGGATGGGATAGAAAATGTTTTCTTGGGGCACACCCCACCCTCCTTTCCAGAGAATATCCATTCTAATCTTCCTGGGATGCTCTTTGAATTATATATTATTTCATAAATCGTGTGTTTGTGAATATAAATACCACAAAGAAGAAAAGACACAAACTTTGGTGAAGAAATCTTTTTCTTTATTTGGTTGAAGATAAGCAAAGAAAACATTTAAAAATTAATCTATATTCATGAAAAGATATTTAATATCTATATATAACATAAAGCACTTTGTTTCCTTAGGAATTAAGTGAGATTCTAGTGATAAAGACATTTGTTGACATGCTCACTGATTACATTTTAGTCATATTCTCCCCATTATTTCTGATTGGTTATTATTGCATGTAGAAAATGAACCAGCTATTACATGATAAACTTTTATGCATTGGGTCTTTTTTAGCTGACTTTTTTGAATTATATTTTCTGTCCACAGTGATATAGTCTTCTTTAGTTCTCCAGTATTTATCCTACGATGCACCCATATGTTTTCTTTATTTTATTGCATTGCTTAGGATTTCCATTATGACATTTAATTGTGATGGTAAGAGTTGGAACTCTGGTTTGGTTTATGATTGAAATGGAATTGCTTCAATTATTTTACTATTAAGTTTTTCATGTTTAATTCAAGTTTTAGTTAATATCTTTAATAAAATGGAAGAAGTTTTTATTCCTTTTATTTTGTTTTTACCTTCAGGTATGAGCATTGAATTTCTCAAATGATTTTTAATAATTTAATAAGTTAATGATATGATTTTCCTTCTTCATTAAATTTCATGAATTATATTATGCTAAATATAATGAATATAATGAATTACATTAGATATTGCATTTCTGGCTCAGCCTCATATTTATGGACTAAGTTATACAAGTTTTAAAACATTATTTTAATACACTGTTGAAGTTGATTTGCTATAACTAATCTTAAGGTTTCCTTTACCTATGTTCCCAAGAAAGACTGATCTACAATTTTCTTTTTGTGGTGTTCTTACCTGATTTTGGTATTAAATTTCATTACACATAAAATAAGTTTTTTCTCTGTACCCTCATCAGAGCAGTTATTTGACATTCATAAACCTTCTTAAAGGTTGACTGATACATAAAATTTTGGTGGCCTGGAATTTTCTAATAGACACATTGATTTTCTTTTCAATTTATTTCTAGCTTTTATAGCCCCATTTTGAGTCAGTTCTCTTCATATTTTCATAGAAGACCACTTATTTTATCTGAATCTTAAAAATTACTGATATGTTATAAATAGTTTTTTATTAAAATTTTTCTTCTATAGCTTTAGTAATATTTTATTTTTTAAAACTTTTATTTATAATGGTATTTTGTATATGTGTCACTTTTCCTTTATTACAGATGTAAAAGTGCCTTTTTTTGTTGATTTTTCCAAAGAAACAACTACATTTTATCAATAAAGTTTTATTTTGCATTTATTCATTATTTAAAACTATTTTTATTTTATGTTTTTATATCTTCACTATTTTCTTTTTCTATGTAGTTTTTAAAAATATTTTTGAGTTGGGTTATTTTGTAGTGTAATATTTAAAGTTCAATTTTTTTCTTGAATCATCACAAAACAAACTTACTGTACATAGAAATAACACTATGAAAGAAAATGACAAACCTCTAATGGTTTAAATATTTGCTGATGAAACAGTAAAGGTAATATTGGATATTTCAAAAAATCCCTTTTTTTAAGTTTAGTTAGATACCATGATTGTCAAATACTGCATACTAATGATACCTCAAAAGAATACACTGCACTTCTAAACTCCCACAAAATATAGATATCTTCATAAAATGGAAAAACTTACACTTCAGTTGGATGCAGTTTTTTAAAGCAAATTTTAATGACTAAGTAACCTGCTTTTGCACTTACCCAAATCAATAAAAAATATGAAAACAAAACAAATTCCTGAATCAGAGAATTTCTCAGACATAGGCAGTATTTGTGTAATACATTGATTTTTCAGGTCTTCATTTTACAACCAGACTAATTGCTCCCCACTTCAAATGTGTAATTAAATGATTTTCATACTTCTATGGATTATTGCTCTTAGAATGAACTGTCTTATTTTGTTCATTTACCTTAGTTTTAACTCCACTTAGGGCATCAAGTACTTTCTGCAGCTTTGGGTTGGCCTGACCAACCTGGAGATTAAAAAAAAAAAGTGTTAAATACAGATAAATACTAAAATTTACTAAAATACTACATTTACTAAAATTCTAAATTTTAAGTTTTTAAAATTAACAGTAGCTGAAAAGAGGTAAGGTAATTTCTCCCTGCTATAGAATTTTAGGTGTATGTTTTTGTGGGCCCTTCTACCCTCATTGTTCATAAGGTTAACCACAGGTAAAGTAACAAATAAAAAGCTTGGTTGGAATTTAATTACAGGCAAGATGCTCAAAACTGTACAAGACAAATCTAGAAATTGAGTGAAGTTATGATATAAAAGCCAAAACTTTTCATTTTGGTCTTTTCTATTACTTATAATTAGCACATTTTGTCATATTTTGAGTGCTCAATAATGTTAGGTGAATTATTGTAATTCCAAAGGTGATTTAATTACTCAATCATACTAAATTTAATAATGATTTTCTCCTATAACTTTTCAAAGACTCTTCAACAGCAGATTTAAGCATCATTTACCATTTAAAAATTAATTAAGATTTTATGGGGAAAATTCTTTTAATTTTTCTTTCCTGATGAAAGATTAAATTAAGAAACTCCTGAGTCCATGAGAGCAGAAGTTTTGAGAAAAAGGAATTTGGAAAAAATGGAAAATAGAAATTCCTTTTCCCCTATGATAACTCCTTATTCCACCCCTACTTAAACATTTGTTTTATTGAGAGGGAAAAGCATAGAAGCAAGGCAATGAAATATGAAGAAAAGGTTTCTCTAGCTGTAAGTAGGATGGGAACTTTCCAAAGAGAAAACTTCGACAGTCTTTTGCCTTGTATCACTTCCTTTTGAGGTCTGATTGCTAAACAGTGTCAGCTGAGCTGTATCTGTAACTCACCTTCATCAAAACACCAATAATTGCCATCCCATCAGGCTTTGAGACAGCTTCACCCACACTGGAGTACTTTGCAGAATTCCAGTGAACTATGTGAAGCTAAAAAATGATAACACAGTTAGTTAATTATTTATATTAGGGCAAGAACAAAACATAAGTATGAAGATGGTCTATGTTCCACTCTTAGTAAGGGAGATCTGCTCACTGAGGAATGTAAGCAGATTAGAACCAATAGGTAAATTTTCTTTTCCTACAGTGACGTCAACTATTTCATATTACTCTTTAAAAAATGTATCTTTTTGGTATTAAAAATATTAAGAAATCTGACGAACTGGCTTTAGGATAAAAATGAAAGTAATTTTCTCCCTCCTGAGGTAAATCATGGCTGCTTTATAGGAAGGGGCTTCTGGACTTCCTGGAAGCCTTAGGCACATCGGTGTCCTTCTCAGGCAACTCTGAAACCAAAACCTGCAGCTTCAACTGTCTGTATTACTCTAGACTTGTACATCCAAGGGTGTCTTATGTCTCTTTGATATTCTTTTGACATTTCCACTTGGATTTCTTAAACTTAACACAACCAAAATAGAACTCTTGATTTGTACTTGCCAAACCTGGTTCGTTTCTCTTCTGAGGGGAAGATAACAAGCATCTAATTGCTCAATCAAAACACACAGTACCATAGTTGTCATCAATTTTTTACTTTCAATAAGTGTATCTCAGATTAGATCTCACTTGTTCAAACTTTTGAGCGTTTGCATTAGGTATTGATTTTTTCTGGAATTTCCTTCCCAATAATCCTTGAAGAGCAGACCTTTGTCTCTAGATTGAACTCAAATACTACTCTTCAACGAATCATTATTTGATCACCCTCTATAAAGTGACCACCATAAACAAAATCAAGTCTTTCAATATCGCTTTCCCAGTTTTTCTTTTTACTTCTATTCCTCCCTTTCTCTTACCTTTGCTTTCTCTCTCTTTCTCCCCTCCTCTTCCTTTCACCTTCCCTTCCTTTTAAAGTTTTCTTTTACAAATCAAATTCAAGTTCTGACAGCAAATTACCTTATAAATGGTATCCAGCATACTGTAAGCACTCAAATAAATATTTGTTGACTGGTAAAACAACCAGCACTTACAGTGTGAAAGAGCTGGTCTAAGTGTGCCTCACATGGGTTTACTCATGCTGTTGTGTCAGTCGTTGTTTGAGGTAGATGTTAATATTAGCTTGGCTATATTGATGAGAAGAGTGATTTTGCTCAAACTTATACAAACAGTAAATAGCAGGTGTTTAATTCCAACTCCAAAAGTCAGCCAGGAAGCCTGCATTCTTAATCACTGCACGCACTCTCAACCTGGTATATGATATGTACACCATATAGATTTATTGAATTTCAATGTGTTGAACCTGGTGGCTGTGTCTCTAATTGCTAGCCCAGATTTCCTGGCTTCAGTTGCCTGGCTGCCACCAAGTAGCCTTTCAAAAACATAATACTAAAGTAGGCCCCTTATCCATTTAATTTCACTCTACCTACCTTCATTTTTATATGAAAGAATCAGGGAATAAGCATTTAATATATTTCTGCAGCGTTGAAAGATATCATCTAAATTTTATAATATAATAAGTAAAACAAGTTATATTTACATACAATTCCCATACCATTTATTAGAAGAAAAGATGCACATATTTTATAAACTCTTTTGAGGAAATGTCTTACACATCAACTTTCACTGGTACATAAGATGCAAAGAGGATGTATTCACATATTTTTTTTGGTAAAAGTGAAAAACCCCAGAGTGGAATAAAAATCAGATGACATTATAATTATCCATCAACAGAAGCTGGTTAAATAAATTCCATTATATTTGTGCAATTGAAATCCCATACAGACATTAGGAAGTGAGACAGAATTAAACCCCGTGACTTGAAAAAAACGGTCATGATAAGTTGGTGGGTAGAAAAAGTAGCAAGTTTCAAAACTATATTCATTATAAAATTCATTTTATGCAAGTAATATTAAAAAGATCACCTGTGTATATGGGTGCACATGCCTTAGAGAGTCATACAAATAAAGACCCAAATTTCTTCCTTCTTAATTGCCCAGATCTTCCATTGAGTTTGATGTGCGTGTGTTTCTCTAGAGATATACAGATCTTGATATGGATCACAAACTTTTATGTGAGGGTAAGTCAAGAAGGAGTAGGAGGCTGGCCTGCAGCCAGGGAAATTCAGAACCTCATCTAGGTGTATTCATCTCCCTGCCTTCATAGCTCTGATTAAACTTGGGCTCTTTGTAGAGTCTCATTACAGTCCTGTCTCTGATCATACCCATGGTACTGGTGTGTCCAAATTTGAAATTTAAGTAAAAAAGTAACAGTAGCATCTGTAGTTTAGGGTCAGAGCTTTAAAGGAGAGTAGTGCTGCCCCTTGAAGCTAGCATGATTTCAAGGTAACAATTTTTGATATATTTTTAGGCTAAACGTAAATCTTGTATTCCAGAGATCAGGTCCAAGTTCAGGTGTCTCTTTCCACATGAAAATTGTCCTGCTTTGCCAAGCATGGTGTGTCTGTGTTTCATTTTAGTGGAGTCTGGGTGGGTGTTCCTTACAAAAACTAGAATAATACTTTTTTGGTCTCCTTAGGATAGTGACTTACATAATAATAGAACTGCTTCTGGGAATCACTCTCAGGATAATTATCTTCTAGTTACTAAATTACATTACCTCTGCAGAATACTTGACTCCATCCACTAAGTGCTCCGAGCCATATGTGTCTGTAGCGCCCCAGTGAAAATGGAACTGACAGAGCCTATAGCTGTCAGAGAGAGGGCCACCTTTCAGCACTGGAGGAAAAGGAAACTACTGTTAATCTTAAGATCCAGGTTATCTTTGCACGAACCGACACTAAATTCTGTTGATTTGAAATGAAAACAAACACTAGAGCTAAAGTTTTCATCTTGTTTTTGTCTCCTACATCCAAGATGATGGCACTCATTTCTATGATACATCCCCAATCATGGCACTGCTAAGACAGTCTATAAAATAGATATGATTTCCAGTACACAAGGCACGGTTGTACCTATTTCCATTGCCAGGAAAGCATAGTGCAAGGTAAGTTAAACATGTGATTACAGGGCTTTTTCTGAAATTCTGCAGTTTGCAAGTTCATTAATCATTCTCTCAACAAAAACTGCATAGGTAGTATTCACCAAAATTCACAGCAGTTTATTCTGAGTAACAAATTATGCATTACACATCTTGTCTTTAATGAAAACAATTATAGCGAGAACCCCTGACCAGGGAATGAAAGTGCCTCTGTTAAAAATTCAACGTTGTAGGGCCTATTGTTTTGGAGTCTGTCCAATCACATAATGATGTAAACACACATACCAGACCTCAGTTAGTATTAATAAAAGACCTTGCTTCAAGTACACCTAAAATTTAGGCTCCAAATTCAGTAGAAATGTGCTAAAACAAGAATGGCTTTTTATGGCAGTAGAACTGTCTGATGAAATTGTCATTTAGTGACTGATCCAATGAACACTGATGAAAAGTTGACTACATAGCAGGCAATGTGCCTGATTCTGAGGTATGAGGACAGTCAGTCTTCCCTACTGTGCACATCCACTTTCATCAACGGGAATGTATCTGCCCTTTCAGTTCTTTTCTTCACAATGATTTAATCACTAGGCCTTTTTGTCTGTTTATACAAAGAATGAAGTGAGCATAAAGATCCTGACATAGAAGAAGAGATGGGAGGTGTTATTAAATAGTGTAAGGACTAAAAATAAACAAAGCTGGATTTTCTAAAAACTATCTTTATCATTCGGATACTTTCTAGAAGTCCAGACTGTTTCACCAGATAATGAAAGTATTAAACTAAATTGTTTCATGTTAGTAGAACATATGGTTAAATATTATCATATGAAATTTTTGGATTTCTTAAATTGAGAAAGTGTTCTCTACACTTCATTGTTTCAGTTTCCCCAGTAGATTTTAGACAGAAATATCAGAACAGTCTTTGACCTCACCTGATTTATCATTCTCAAAATTCACATGGAAGGAATGTCCCACGTTGATAATTTCTTTGGCACCAGCTGGATTGTAGGAGACACTGATGGGCTTCAGAGAGGTGTCATGTTTGGCTTCACTAGTTTTAATGTCAATGGGAGACTGGTTATTTCCGTTGGCAATGGGATATAGTTTGCTCCATTGATCAGGACCTACCAAGACAAATGTATGTGTGTAATCAAAACTTTATTAAATGTTTGATTCCAAGTTCTAAGACTCTAACTGCCTGTTTTCTTGTTAGTTTATGATTTATTCAGGTGTCTTAAGTGACATTCAGTTACTTGGAAATTCTGTTTTGAGAATATCTTTTCTCTATACTGTACTGCAAAAGAGTGCATCTGTCAACACTAGTAGTATAGGCCTAAATGATTAGCCTATAGGAGTAGACTATAAATATTTCATGAGCAACAGATTTATAAAACATATACTCATTGCACTTTGTAACCATCTCTGCTGCAAAGACCAACTGGTAAAAATTCTTATGAAGATATTATAATTATCCAAAGCAGTCAATTCAAACCATCAAATTGTGGCTGTATTAATGTCTGAAGTACTTAACATATCTTCTTTTAGAAAAGACAATCAGCTATGATTTTGATCTAAACAAAAAGAAATTCTCTTACCATTTTGGCCATCATATCCCCAGTCTGCATTTGCCATGATCTTCTGTTTAGTTTTCTTTTTCTGACAACAAAAGTAATATGTGGAATAACTCACTGCAACTGTGCATGCAGTAGATACTCTCTCATGTGGGGATTTTATAGAAATGTCTCTGCCCTTAACAGTCCGCTATTGCATCATCTCTTCATATCAGGAAGTATATGTATCTAAAAAAGGTGCTGTAAAAATGTTTAGAAAAGTTAGTCAAGTTCCAATTGTTTTATTATACTATAAAAAGAAATATCAAAATCATAGATTTTTATTAAACTAAATCCTGTTTCATGTTAATAGAAGTTATGGTTAAATATCCTATGAAATTTTTGGATTTCTTAAATTAAAAATACTTCGTGTGCTTATAATCCAATTCTGCCTTTGCTGGATAGTTAAGCAATACTAGCAATAGTAATTTGTAAAGAGATTACATTTTCTTGTTTACAGGCTGATCGCAACTTCTATCATACTGTTAATTTAGAATCAAACAAAATTACTAATTATTTGTAATGTATATTATTCATAATCGTGCATTTCATAGACACATAGAATGAGAATAAATTCCTTCAGTCTGGGCATTACTGGGATTCATAAATAGAGAGGTAGCCTAGTATTTTACACATCAAATAAGTATACTAGATGAAAAGCCTTTTATATAATTTATACAATTTACAAAGCATCTTCATACTACTTTGTCTTCATGTTACACATACAAATCGTATACAGAGCTATCATTTTTGTACTTGAGAGATGTTGCCGGACAGCACTATAGCTAGCAAGAAATGAAGACTTCAGGCATCAGTTCATGTTCATTTGCTTTCGGAATTCCCTATGCCTCTGCTAAATGTCACACTGAGCGAGCTCTGCAGTTCATCCTATTTCTTTTTCCTATTGATCTATTTCTCTATGTCCACAAGTCTCTTAAGACCAATTTATAAGATGTTATCAAAAATAGTGAATATTAAATTAAAAATTAATTTTGTGAAAGAGACGTTGCAATTAACCCTTCTCAAAATACTCACATTGAACACACTTTTCCTATTGTGCTTGCCATCTTCTGATGCAGCTCTTGAAAACCTCTTCTTTGTGTTGTTGTGGCTGCCACAATCTTGAATTAATTCAAAACACTTACTTTTCATGGTCCTTTTGACTTTGGGGAAGAAAATTTGCATAGTGCCAAATCCAGTGAATTAGGTGGATAAGGACAGAACATAATGTTTTTCTGGGGCAGAAATTGCCTTCACAATTTTTGTCACATTTTGAATTGATTGAGATCATTGAGGCAACCACAAAAAGACAATCACGAGAGAGGTCTTCCAGAGCTGTCGCATAGTATTTTGAAGAGGATTGAATGGCAATGTGTCTTCTAGTGCAATTTAAACATTCACCATATCTTTTGATCACACCTTGTATGTTTGCATCAAGATGAGACCTGACAACGTCTGAGTGCTTAGAAGCTCCATGGGACTTTTCAAGAAGGTACAGAAAATTGATTAGGACATGTTGGACTCTGGCTAGGTCTTCATTTTTAATTCACTACATGTGCTCAAATGAAATAAAAACAAATAAGCTTTCAAAATACTTGATTTAACACTCTAGAATCATCTGAGTTGCTTGCAATACCTGAAGAAAGATGAAAGTCAGGAGCAGTTTTTAGCTAGGCTGATTGGAGATTCCATGGATCTCCTTTGTGGCCTTTGTGACCAGTAACAGTGCCCCTCCTCATAGCAGAGTGAACAGTGGCTCACGAATGTCCACAGAGTGAGAACAGGCCCAAGTTCCCATCCTATAGTATTAGGAGGCATAGAGAGAGCTTATTCAAAGAGGAACTTTTAAAACACTACAATTTTTTAAACTTTTTAATTTGATAGATAATATTGTATGTATTTATTGAGCACAATATTATATTTTGAAGTACATATACACTAAGGAATGAGTCAGTCTAGCTAACTAATACTTGCATTCAGGCACACAGTTATCTTTGTGGTAATAGCACTTAAAGTCCAATCTGTATTTTTTTGAGAATACAATAAATGACCATTTAACCATATAGTCACCTTGCTGAATAATAGAGCTCTTGAATTTATTCTTCATAAGTACAATCACGTATCCTTTGACCAAGCTCTTTAAACTTTGAATTAAACTATAATTTTATCATATTTGAACAAAGACAACCCCCTTTTCATTACATGATTGCAGGATGAGTCACCATGTGAATGTTTTAACATCTATATGGTAATTCATGTAAACTTTTAGGTACAAAACTGTTTCAGCCCCTAACTATTATAATCCTTATTTTATTATGTACTCAGGGTGTGTTTGAGTACTCTGACAAGCAAAAAATTAAATAGAAAAGCTGTAAAATTTAATGAGCAACTATAATTTAAGTCCTATATTCCCCTCATTTACCTTTAGTCTTCTTTTTCTGCTAACAAACTTTGCCATTCTCAGCTTGATATGGAAGCTAAATCCAAAATAAACATTTTGCGTTCATTTCACTTTAACCTATAGATTTCCAGGGTTATGATCTCTGAACTGCTTCTGTATACCAAGAAGGCATTCCATCTACACAGCTTCTCTCTCCTAAACAGCTTATTTCTGCAGGCCATCAAATACATGAACACACATGCAAGAAATACTGTTTTTCCTGAAAGACTGCTTTGAATAAACCCATATGTATCTGAAACTTAGAGCAACCAGGCTGATGGAAAAGTTATATCTTTAGAAATATAATACAGATTTGCATCAGTATTTTTTATCAGATAACTGGTTATTAACATTAAGAAATATCACAAGAACTAAAACAAATTTTTTGTTATCAAGGAAAACTATTTCACAATGTATCAGTGCTAGAGTGTGATTGTGTAGTCTAGAAAAGACTGCTTTTTACTCAGTGATTCTTGCCTCCTGGGTCCTTTAAAATAATTTTCTAATCCAGTTCTCACAGCAGACCTGAAGTCAGGTTAGCTTCCCTTCCCTTTTAAAAGGAAAGATATGAAGCTCAGAAAAATTCAAGGAGCAGAATCAGGATTTGAATCTATTTCTGGTTACCTTCAAAGCCTACAACTCTATCCATTTCCTTTTCTATCATAACACCATCATTGTCAGGTTTACTATGACAATTGTTTTAAAGTTAGTCAATAGTTTATTACATTTATTTTTATTAACACCAACTGGCTTTAGCTGAAGAATGTTTTAATGCCTAAACATGGTTTTCAAAAGAGAAGCAACATTTTCTGTTTCACTGGATTTTAAAGCCAATGCTTAAATGATATTTAAGGACTTTTTAGCATTCCTTAATTTTCACATTTTTTTCTTCTAGTTCCTTAAATTTCCCTGATTCTTATTTTAATGTCTTCATATTTAAGCACAAAGATTCATGGAGGAAACCAATTATGATGAATTTCAGATTTGAATTTGCAATTAAAAATAATTCTTGGGTATAGAAGGAGTAAAAAAATGTTAAGAATGAGATACTTCCTAATGGTAGATCCCAATTCCTAAAAGGCAATAGCTTGTGCTCATAGTTCTGTACAAATAGGTGACTTTGTGGGAATTCAGCCTGTATTAGCCAGCTTCTTGTTACTATAGTAAAATACTGAAGATCATTAATTTATAATAGGATTGCATTACCTCATGGATCTGGAAAGCCATGGAACTCTTGGAAGTTCCAGTTCAAGACTGAACGTCCTCATTAGTTTGGGCCTCTGATGAGGCAGTACACCGTGGTGGGAATACGTGGTGGAACGAACCACTCACTTCATGTTCCTGAAAGCAGGGCAAGTTAGAGTTTCAGTGAGGTCTCAAAGTCCCCTTCCAGGGAATGTCCCCAAAGACCTAAAGACCTCTGTCATAAGACCATACCTTCTAACAGTCCACAGCATCTACCAAAAACACTACCCTAGGGATCAAACCTTTAATACAAAAGCCTTAGGGAGAAATCCAACATCCAAACTATAGAACATACTTTCTTTAAAATGAGGAAATATATATTGTGATAATCAAGCTTCACTTTTGGCTATTACATTTTTCACTAATTTTGCACTGGTATTTAAATTCCCTGTCCTTCCAAAAATAGTGTTATTTGGTGTGACAAGATAAACTCTATTTTCAGTGGAAAAGTAGGCCACAGAAAATGGTGCTATTAACCTAGATATTTCCACATTGAGATAACTAGAAATTCTGATTGGTGAACTTAAATGGCAGGATAGCTTTCTAGATCTTACATCTACCATTCCTTCTAACTTGGCCTTTCTCTTTAAAACAAGATGTGGTACCAACTTTATTTTTTTAGTGGATGTCTCTATCTCCATTCACTTCAAATTTGTTCCATTTTAGGACCCTTATGCTTACTGTTTTACTCTCTGAATTGCTCTGTACCCAGATCTTTGCACAGGCACAAATGTTACCACCTCAGGTAGAAGTTTCTTGACTTCCAAACCCAACATTGGCTCTTCCTCCTCTTCACTCTCTTACATAATTCTGTCTTCTTTCATAGCATTTGTTGCATCTTGAAATTATTTTGTGTTTTAAACTTACAGAATTCACTTTAAAATTTAACAGTTCAGAGCATTTTGGATTTTAGATTAAGCATGCTTAACTGGTAAAAATTTTTTATGCAAATATTTCAAAATTTGGAAAACTATAAAGTCTGAGGTACATCCGATCCTAAGCATTTTTGATAAGGGATGTTCAAATGTATTTCATTTGCTTAGTTACTTAATTCTATAATCATCTCTAAAATGACACACCTATGATTATAGGCACTGACCATTATTTTGCCGCTGTATTCTCTTCATTTATTATTGACCGGTAAAACAGTGGCACTCAATAAATATTGACAGATAGCACAATTAAATGATCATTTTAAACCTCAACTATTTTAGTTTTAAAGTCTTAGTAGAGACTACAGCCAACAAACGCACTGATTTAAACTCAGAAACCTATGGCACATGGATGTGTGGGCCTGTGAACGAGCTCGGCTGGAGGTTAACGTGATCATATCTGGACTAAGGAGA